CTATCTAAGAAATCTTTGCTAACCTACGGTCACAAAGATTTTCTCTTATGTTTTCTTCTAGAAGTTTTATAGTTTTGCATTTTACATTTAGGTCTATGATCCATTTTGTGTTAATTTTTATATATGGCATGAAGTAAGGGTCTAAATTCATTATTATTATTATTATTATTATTTTGCAGATAGATATTGAATTGTTCCAACATCACTTGTTGAAAAGACTATATTTTCTTCACTGAATTTCCTTGGTACCTTTGTCAAAAATCAATAGACCATAAATGTGTGGGTTTATTTCTGGACTCTCTGTTCTGTTCCACTGACCTACGTGTCTGTCCGTACACCAGCACCACATTGCCTTGATTACTGTAGCTCTAAGCTCTATACTAAGTTTTGAGATCAAGTAGTGTGTGTTCTCCAGTTTTGTTCTTCTTCAAATTTGTTGTGACTGCTCTAGGTCCTTTGCATTCCATATACATTTTAGGATCAGCTTGTTAATTTCTACAAAAATAAACCTCCTGGAATTTTGATAAAGTTAGGGTTGAATCTATAGATCAATAATGGGGAGATATAATCCTCAAAAATTATTTGCTATTATCAGCAAAGGTGGGCAGCTGAGATCATGAAGATAGGAGAGTGAATGGAGGAAGGACGATCTTCACTAGGAAGTCCCCGAGGGAAGCAGGAGAGATGATTCCATGACAAGCCACATTCTTCTTTCATTAACAAATTTTGGAGGGGGCATAGGGACAGGTAAGAAAATGAATTCAGCAGCATTCAGCTTGAAACCAAGGTTTTCAGATATTCCTGGAACAAGAACATTTTTCTAAGATTTCACTTAGCCTTCCTGAGAGCCCTACAAGAGCTCTGTCTGAGAGAAATAATGCCCTGGCTCCCCAGCCCAGCAGATGGGTCACTGACCCCATTGTTACCGTAGCATGGTCGAAGTGAGGCTCATAGTGCCCCCCAATTCCATAGTTCACCACCTGGAGGTACTCTGCGTAGGGAGGCTGGACATCAAGGCCTGTGAGGGCTGCAATGCGGTGGTCAAGGGTCACCAGCATCGGGTCAACGGTGTCCTTCAGCCAGGCACTAAAACACACAGGTTGGCAAATCAGTAATCTGATGCCAGAAATGACTAAATGATATCTGTGAGTGAATGAATTAAACAAGCGAATTAATGTCAACTGCCAGAAAGAAGGAAGGGAGGGAGGGAAGAGAGACACTAATGCCTAATTATCATCTCATCCCTCATGTCCACTTTGTCCTCTATCCCAACAGTCACACATTCATTGATTCAGTGAATATTTTCTGAGGCCCGCTGAAGACCAGGCCCTGGGCTAGGAGCTGAGGAAACAGAGTGAAGGTTCCCAGCACCCAGGCACCAAGATACAAAGAGGAATAAGACAAAAACTCTGTCTTCAAAATGGCTATGTTGCAGAGACATCTCAACAGGGGCAGCTGGGTGCAGTGGAAACAGTTTGGGGTTTAGAGGAACATGACCGGTCCCCGATCCTCTGTATGGTCCTGAGTCAGGTAATTAACCTTAAACCTCTCTAAGGGTCAGTGTGTTATCTATAAATTGAAATGATAGTGTATCTCCTTCACAAACTTGTGAGAATTGTGAAAGACAATACTTATGAAGATGCTTTGTGAGCTATATGTTAGTGTTAAACACAGGAAAATCGCTGCTCTTTTTGCTCTACTGCCAGACAAACCAGGATAGGTCAAAGGCCAGAGAGCACAGTTTAGTCTCTTTTCTTGAATATCTTGTTGAGGTTCCAACAAAGTGGAGATTTTGGAATCAGAATTTAGGTCCCTGGGAAATGAAGGAAGTGCTCCTCAAACGAGGCCAGCGAGGGTCCTTGGGAGACCATCAGTGCTCTGCAGGCAAGAGCCTTGGCATGATACGGGAAGACCATGTCTTTGCTCTTTAAGGAATGGATTACTCTGTTCATTCTTCCATACAGAGTGGATGGAAAGTGCTATGCCCCATGCCCTTAGGTTTACAGAGCTCCCCAAGACAAAGGTACTGCCTTTAAAGAGCTCAAGGATTATGTGGGAGAAGATGAACACAAATATAACTAAGTCCAAATTAAGGTAGAAAAAATGAGAAATAGATTTTAAAGTGAAGTGCTGGAAGCACAAAAGAAGAAGAAGTTAATTCTACCGGGGCACACTCAGGTAAGATGGTGACACTTAAGCCAAATTTTGAAGGGTGCATAAAATTCCAATAGATGGAAAAGATGTAGGGCTGTTCCAGCCCGAAGAAGGAGTAATGCAAGTGGAGAAAGAGAAAGTAGTTTCTTGATCTGAAATGTGAAGAAAAGGGCTGGGCACAGTGGCTCACACCTGTAATCCCAGCACTTTGGGAGGCCAAGGTGGGAGGATCACTTGAGCCCAGGTGTTCCAGACCAGCCTGAGCAACATAGTGAGATTTTGTCTCAAAAACAAAACGAAACAAAAAAGGGAAGAAAACACCACCTACTTCCCTAGAAACAATGAATCTAAATATAAGGTTGATTTTTCTTTCTGACATTACAATATCAGGAAGGTTAGAAAAAGCAATGAAGCTGGGGTTGCATGGACCTTCCAAAGTGTAGAGAATAACTACTGTAAAAGAAAGGTACTAGACCAAATAAGTTAAGCCAAGTGATTCTGAATCAAAGCTTCCATCCCTCGCTCACTTCCCAGACAACACAAACTAACCACCCATCCTGAGGTCTGGCCTCTCCCCAGGGATGCTGAGGTCACTGTCTCACATGGCTCTGATGGAGATCCCGCCTCTTATGGTATCACCAGGCCTGTCCTTACAATGCAAATGAAGGGTTGCAGGGTGGGGGGAGTGTGCAGGGGGTGGGCAGGGGTGCAGGGAAGGGGATAAAGCAGGCTCTCACAGCTGAATCTGCTCCTCCAGAGAAGCCACTGGGGACAGAGAATCTATTATATTTGTCTCTTTGCCTGATTGTTGGCAAGTCATGTTTGAATGAGTCAGAAGGTGGGAATGGAATCTTGTGGAGTCAAATCATAAATGTGAACAGTGCTGTATTCTCTGGAAAAGCAATTCTGGTTAGAACAATCCTGGATAGGATTTATTTTTTGGTTTAAGCCCACAGGAGCTTTTTCAAGTCTTTCTCGAATGGCCTTCTAGTTAAATCCTCAGATGATATAACCACCCGTGAAAGGAGAAACAGCATCTCCTGCAGTCCCCGAACAACTGTTACTGACCTGGCACTCACCTGTGCCACAGGTCTGGGTGTGGGCAGCAGGCATGATCAGCAGTCCCTGCCAAGGAAGGGCCTTCCTTACCTTTTGCTGATGCGGTACTCCACTTGTAACTGCTTTTCCCCTGACGCCACCACTGATCTCTGGAGCTGGTGGAAGGACATAAGACAAAGCGCAAGTGGTTATGATGCAAAGGGGAGGGCTCTGTCATTTCCACAGACAGGCCCCTCTCTTACGCATGCACATAACACCCGCCAGCTCCTCCCTACTTAGAGGGCATTTTACATGTGGGAGTGATTTAGTGATAGCTATCAACCTTGAAAATAAAAAATAGTAAGTGACCAAAAATCTTAGAGTTGAAAATAACCTTTAGCACTGTGTCTAGTCTACAATAAGCAGTCCAATAAAAGTTTGTTGAGCTGAAATAAACTGGTATTTGAATCCCTTTTGTATCTGCAAGACTGTGAGTTAGGTAAGAACAAGGGCTATTTCTCAATCATCTTTGTATCCCAGTGTCAGGCACAGGGCCTGACCTATGGTAAGCACTTAGTAAGTGTTGAATTAAATGAACACCTCCAACAACAGGAAATTCTCTACGCTCAGAGGCAGCCTGCTCCTTTTGAACAATTCTGACAAAAGCTCTTCCTTACAAAGAATCAAAATCTGTTTTTCTATAACTGCCTTTTCTTTTTTAATTTATATATAATAATTGCATATTTTTGGAGTACATGTGATATTTTGATAGACAAAACTGGATCACGAAAAACAACAGGTTTGAAGTCACTAATTTAACTAAATGTCTCGCTTTTGTTCTGAATGTCCAGATATAGCATTTAAATTGTTTTTATTTTATTTTATTTTATTTTATTTTTGAGACAGAGTCTCACTCTTTTTGCCCGGGCTAGAGTGAGTGCCGTGGCGTCAGCCTAGCTCACAGCAACCTCAAACTCCTGGGCTCAAGTGATCCTTCTGCCTCAGCCTTCCGAGTAGCTGGGATTACAGGCATGCACCACCATGCCCGGCTAATTTTTTCTATATATTTTTAGTTGGCCGATTAATTTCTTTCTTATTTTAGTAGAGATGGGGTCTCGCTCTTGCCCAGGCTGGTCTCGAACTCCTGAGCTCAAACAATCCGCCTGCCTCGGCCTCCCAGAGTGCTAGGATTACAGGCGTGAGCCACCTTAAATTGTTTTTAAATAAAATGCCTATTAATTGCAAAGTCACTGTACTAGGGACAGAAAGATAAATAGTATTTATTTACATAAAGGTGTGTCTCCTTCTGTCTCTGCCATCAGAATGTCAGTTCCATGAAGGCAAAAACTTGGTCTTTTGTCAGGGCTGTATCCTGAGGGTCCAGAGAGGGCCTGGCAGGGAGCAGGGGCTCAATATTGGTTAAATGAACAAATGAATGAATGAAACCAGGCCCTGCACTTACAGGCACTCACAGCGCTCAGACCCAGCCCTGGTGCTTCACAGGCAGGAAGAGCAGTACCCAGGGCAATGAAATGCACAAGACAGAAAGCTTTTCCCTTCTCTAGGGCTTCTATAATGTCATTGTTCCTGCTGCTAAACCAGGTGGACAATCTTGGAAAAGCCTGTTCCTTTCCTTGGACCCATCTCCCCATCTCTGAAATGCAGCATGTGAACAGCACGTTCTTGGGAGTTCCTCTCAGCCTATGGCTCTGCAATATTAGGATGTGGGAAATCAGAAGGTGACTGATACACTTCACCAATTGCCCCACATCCTCTCCGTAGCCACTCATAGAGGAGAGAGTCATAGAAGAGAGATGTTTCCTCTGTGTTTGTAGGGAAAAATCAACAGCTTAAAAAAAATCCTAGGGAAACCCTTCTCCCTCAATTAAGGAGCCACCTTGTGTTTCATTCCTTTAATAATCATTTATTGTGGGAAATTTGATCACATGGAGGTGGAAAGTGGAAAGATAGATAATAGAGACTGGGGGAGGGGAAGGATGGAGAGATGCGGGTTAAAGGTACAAACGTACAGTAAGACAGAAGGAATAAATTCAGTGTTTGGTGGCAGAGCAGAGTGACTATAGTTAACACAAATGCATTGCACTTGGATGATGGACACCCTACAGACACTGACTTGATCATTATGCGTTATACACATGAAACAACATTTCACATGTAGCCCCTGTATTTGTGCAAATAAAAAATAAATAAATAAAAAATCATTCATTGTCCACCTACAAATCACTCGTTTTTTTTGAACAAATATCTATTGGTTGTTCTCTGTGCTAAGCACTATAGTAGGCATTGGACAAACAATAGGCTAAACCAGACAATGTCCCTGCCTCTTAGTCATCTCACGGGGCCATAATGGGTGAGTACAGACTGCTATGGAAATAGAGAGAGGGGCATCTAGCCCATTCTCATGAGGGACTGGAAAGCCTCCCAGGATGTCCACAAGACACACTGGAATCACACAGGTGAAAAGAGATCACCAGCAGAGAGGAGTGTGTGGCCGGAGAGTCGAGTGAAGGGGGAGATGTGGCAGAAGGTTGGCAGCAGCCAGGCCTCGGAGGTTTGCAAGCATTTGAGGGCAAATGCGATCCATTAAAGAGTTTAAGCAAGGGCTTGACATGGTCAGACCTGACCTTCTAAAAATACTTTGGCTGCAACAGGCAGAACGGGGCAAGGAATTTCAAGAAAGACAATATGATGTTTGCTAGTTTGCGGTCTAGTTGGGGAGACAGGATGCTAACCCATGAAACTGTCAGTGATACCAGACAACACATAAATGGCAGAATAAATTTAAAAATTAAGTACCAGACAACTGGCAACAAAAACTTTGAGTTCAGAGCGGGGGGAGGTTATTGTATGTTCACTCAAAGAACCAAAGTAGGCCAGAGTGGTCAGGGCTGGCAGGCTCAACAGACGTCTGAGACTTCAACTGAGTCTTGAAGGATGGGTAGGATGTGGGAGAGAGAGAGAAGTGATGAGAGAGTGTGCTTTGGGAAGGGACAGTGAATAAATAATTTTATTATAAATTTTTTTTATAAATTTAACACAAGCCACCGAGATGTCTGCCCAGGTCCCATGGGGGAGGCACTACCAGAGAAGCCCAGGGCTTATTCCTGGGAGAGCCAGGCATCAGCAGCCCAGCAAGACGCTTCTGGGGAAGGGAGTGTGGCAAGGTCTGTGCATGCCAAATTGATGACCTGGCCATGAACAATTAAATAGACATCGCTGGGTGTGCCACTTGTCGTGTCACCATGGCAACATGGCAAGTCTGAGGAAAAAGCAGCTGCTGGCCAAATGCTATTACTGCTTGCTCACTGAGAAGCTGAACCTATTGAAAACACAGTGTTCCAACTCACCAGTGGAGCTTAGTCATCTCAAAAGCCTGTACAAAGACTCTAGACTTGCCTGGGGGCAGGGGGTTTTTAGATGAAATGGTTACTGCTGCTCTTCTCTGCTCTGCTCTTCTCTCTCTGATCCGTGTCTCTGCTGTCAGAGCCCTCCCTAAAACCACAGACCTGATCATGCCACTCTCCTGTTGAAAGCCGTCCAACAGCTCTCCCACTGCCTACACGGTAAGTGCCTGGCATGGCACCTGCAGTGTCTGCTGAGGGTGTCTCACCATCTAGCCTCATCTCCTATCACCTCCCCTCGTCTCTTGCACACTTCAGCCACCGAGCTTCTCCCCGGTCTCTGGACATGTCTCTGGACATCAGGCTTCACATTGCTTCATCTTCCTGGAATACCCTTTGCCAACTTGTTTCTCTGATCGATGTCACCTCCACAGGGAAGCCTTCCCTGATTCATCCTCTCCTCCCCATCTGCTCTTTGCCCCACTGCCTTTTCTTCAGAAGAAGGCTCACTTTAGCCACCATAGCACAACCCCCTGCACATGTGACAGCACATGTCATAGTATATTGTAAAGATTTGTTTGTCCTCATTATGTAGTAAGCTCCCAAAAGGAAAGGACTGCTACCTCATCTCACTGTAAAAGCCCAGTACCCAGGCCAGGGCCTGGCACACGGCAGGCTCCGTTCCATTGATGAATGACTGACTACTGGCTGTCTGAATGAACTGCACATATTAAGGGTGAGATGTCTGGATTGACATAAATAAGTCTGAGACAGTATCAATGTGCCATCTTTAAACAGGCAACACACTTATAGAGGCGAGGTAGACTGCATAATTTTTCTAAATATTTACCATACTTCCTAGGGGGAGAATTAAACGTCCCCTTCCCACATACACCAAGCTTGGCTCAGTAAGGCCTTCCCTGTGGAGGAACTAAATAGACTCCCTGTTGTCTGCAGTGGTGGCCACATGCTCTGCTTTGGCCAGAGAACCGTGGGTGGAAGTAATGTCTGACGCTTCCACATGGAAGCTTTACAAGCCAGCTCGTGTTTGCTATCTCTTGTCGTTTTCCTCTCTCATGAGACTGGCAGCGTCCCACATAGAGGCTGCTGTCAGGTTGGTCCCAGAGTGTGGGGCAGAGCTGCGGCCAGCCCAAGACAGATGTATAACGTGAGAAAGAAGCAAAACTTTACTGTAGTTATCTCTGAGATTTGGGGCTGCTTGTTACCAAGCATAACTTAGCCTAAGTTAACAGATGCAAGAAGGCAGAACAGCAGAGCAGCAATGAATGTACCTCTAAGTTCCAGTTGTAGGTCTAGTTACACGTGTGACCTTAAGTCCCTACCTCTCTCTGGGCTTCAGTCTCTTCTTTAACAAAATAATGAAATTGAACTTTCCACTCTGACTCTGTAAATAGGTATTAGGATTTCACTCCTTGCCCCTGTCATCTCACCCTTTTTTCCTTTTTTTTCCCCCTTCTACTAATTATATGGAATGGTTAACATTTTTGAAGTGCTCCTTATTTTTATTTTTTTAGGTTAAATTGACACATGATGATATGCACATGTCTCAAGAGGACCGTCTGCTGAGTTTTAACAAATGCACACAGCTGTGTATGTCACATCCCTAACGAGATATTAAGAGCACATTTTCAACACCCCAGAAAATTCCTTTGCACCTCATTCCCAGTTAATCCTTTCCCTCTAGAGGCAACCACTACTGTGATTTTTTTCCACCATGGATTAGTTTTATGGAATGGTTGTCATTTTGAACTCCTGGACTAATGAAGTGTCTACTTAGTTGTTCATGTTGCCTGTTCTCATACTGCCGAACTCCAGGCATGTGAAGACACAAAAGGAAGTTCTTGGCAGGCTTTGGGGACACTCACCCACGGCTCTGCAAGCTCTCTAATTTTCTGAGCCTCCGAGTCACTGACAAAGTCATGGTAGAGAGCAACATAGGGCTCCAGGTGGATGACCTCCTTCCGGACGGGCTGGAGCAGCAGGTAGGGGCTGGAATTGGTCTCATAGGAGCAGTAGAGGCTGGGGATCTGGTAGTGAGTGGGCTGGAAGGGAAGAGTAGAATCAGCAGAAGAGAAGAAGGGTCTAGGAGCAGAAACCACCTTAGGGGACCTATGGCATAAAATAACTGGAACTTGAGAGAGACAGAATATGGTCGCTCTGATGTTGCCCAAGTGAGCTTTATTGTTTTCAATGCATCAGTCCTTTCCCCTCACATTGTCCCAATGCCAGCTTCTCGCTCTCTAGCCAAGCCTGTCACCCCTTTCTCTTTCCCTGAGGGATCCTACCTGGGAACCCAGGGTCTGACATAACCCCTCGTAGGTGTCTCTGGTCTGCAGGTGGGGTACATTGGGTCTCTGCATGACAGCCTCAGCTACTGCCGGATTGGGGCTCTCTGCCAAGAGCCTTTCATATTTCAAGATATTCCTGGCCATCCTCTTATTATCTGGGCCTGAGAGAAATCAGAGCAGGGAATAATATAGATTAACAAATACTGCCCTCAGGGAGTGCTACCAAGGTTTCCTGCAGCTTCACTGCTATGCAGAACAGGCAACTGGACTCCCTGAATAACTCCTTGTGTCAACGCACAGGAGGATGTAAGACCCTCGTTTCCAGAAGAGTACCTGGTATTCGAAAAAGACTGACTTGGGCCCGGTAGATCTGAAGGTGCAGAGCCTTCTGCACCTTTGGGAAGGAACGTGGTACTTAACATTCTTCGGCCAAGGGATTATGAGGATGGCTGCTCTGGGAAAGTGACGGTTGGTTTTACGTATAGAGAAGAAGGAGCTTCATTCTTTCATTCAATAATTCATTTACCCATCCATTCAATAAATCTTCAATGAACATTTACTATGTACCAGATACCGTGCTAGAGGCTGATCTCCCAGAGTTTAGAGTCTAATGGAGAAAAGGGATATTAAATTACCACTTACAACAAAACATGATAAGTAAGTGTAATGACAGAGAAGCCTAGAGAGCCAAAGCCTGTTGCAGAGGGACTCAACCTTTTCTTCCCTGGAGAACTGGAAGCTCATTCATTCTTGGCTCCACTAGATCCTGCAAAATTCATAACTGGCCTAGACCCAGAGCAGAGCAGTCTGGGATAAAGGGACTCTAGACTTTGGTTCTAGACTCGAATCCTACAGGGTCCTCAGGAAATCCAGTAAATCTTGTGTCTTGTCTGTGCCCACTTTTTGTACCCACTTTGGCTCAAGATGCCCCATGGAATGGTGGCTACCCATGGCCTGCTTGCCTCTGTGCATAAGCCTCAGTGCATCTCAGAAGGGGGTCTGAACTGAGGAGAAATGAAGTTTTGGAGAATAGAAATGAAGAGACCAAACAGCAATGAAAATATTGCAAAGCTAGAAATGGGAATCTCATTCGCCATGTTCTACTTATCCATCTATAAAAAGCACACAATTTAGGTTCTCTTGGCAAGGCAGAGATTTTAATAGATCGAGCAAAAAGAAATAAAATGAGGGTAGGGTTATAATTTTGTTTGTACTACAAATTACCCATGTGTTTACAAACCATACAACTACTTCCTTATACTACTGTTTGCTAAATTATCAGAAAGGAATAACATTACTAAATGGATTCATTAAAAAAGTTATGAATACATGCAATTGTTAAATCCTACATGAAATACTTTATAAATATTAAACAAAATAGTGATTTTGTATCTTACTTTAGAATCTAAATACTTTATTAGAGGAAAGCCTAGGAAGCCATCTACCACTAAAATTTTAAGCACACACACATATATATATAAGAAATTTTTAAGCAAAAATATCCAAGCAGAGAGCTGAGCTAGGAAGCATCTCCTTCCTGTTTAACTCATTGCTTTGTCAGCAAGGCAGTCCCTGAAGGGGGTTGAAGCTGAACTCAGCCATCTGAACAGGATGGCTGCACAGCAAAGTGAGCTCTGGTTTAAAGGGAAGAATTGATAACTCTGTGAGCAGCTGAAGTGAAAGATCCTGCTGAGTCACTCTCCTTCTTGCACACACAGGGCACATTGATTTCATTCATTCCTGGGTCTACTTCCAAACCCTGGGCCTTTAAAATGTCTCCAAAGAAACTGGCTCTCAATCTTGGACTTGTTCCCATAGAAGCAATGCTAATATATAACTGGTTGGAAGAGCAGGAGGGAAGGGACAGGTTGATATCTTCTCAGCATTTTTCAACTAACTTAAAAATTTCCCCCTGAGGCATTGATCTGCATATGTGTAAGATTTCATCTAAAATTGGAAATGTGCCTTAGATTATGAAATTAAATAAAGATAGATAGCTGTATGTCCCTTGTGGGGATTAAAGACCAGGAGCGGAAGGGAGTCCCCCATAACTCAGACCTGTGGCTGGATTATCTTTTATCCTTACGTACTGTAGAGAAGAAACTCTCGGGAGAGGCTGAGGGCACACGAAACATTTCCTGCCTATTAAAGAAAAAAACAAAAAAACAGAAAGAAAAGGAAAAGAAAGCATTAACCGCACTGAGGATATCTCCTCTGAACAAATCATTAAATAGATTTTTTAAAAAACTATAAAACATTCTTACCACAAGTAGATAATAAGGCGCATTGAAAGGAGCAGCAAACTAGAAATGCAGAGGATTTGTGAATCTGGTCTCACCACTTTCCTCATTTACAATTGACTTATTACTAACCTTCCCAGGGAAGGTAGGAAAATAAACGAAGATAAACTTTCCTAAAGTGCCCTCAAATCTTAAAGTGTGCAAAACCACATAATTGCAGGGTGTTTGTTATTTGATTATAGTTTATTATTACACTTAATATGGAACTATAAAAACCCTAATACAAATATAATTTGTTTTCCAGGTTCAGATCTTCCTGTAGTCTACAAAGCTAGTTAAAGGGAGGCAAAGGAAGAACTAAAACAGAAACATTCCACAATGCACAGGAATTAACTCTCCATAGCCATTCAATCTGGGGCTCAACCAGGTCAAAAGGAAATGGGGCTTTCCTGACAAACCTGGGGAACAGACACGTATGGGTGGGCTGCAGTCCTCTGGGTGCTGCCAGATGATGATTAACTGCTGGAGATGTATTTCTTTCTAATCATTTAGTTTAGCAAATTAAAAAATTCATTTTTAAGGAAAAAAGCAATAAGCACATTATAAAACATATGAGAAATGGAAAATATTACTGAAATCCAGGCACTGCAAGCACTTTGGATAATATATGGTTTTTACATAGGTATGATCATATTTTTTTTACACATTTTCACATCCTGATTGTTTCACTTCATATTGTTATCAGGAGTGTTTTTATATTATTACATAGTCTTC